ACCTACACAGTGCCCGAATGTCCCCCCTGTATATCATAGAATTTTTTTAGTTGCGCAAAAACCCTCTGCACACCAAAAGGAGAGTTAACGGGAAGGCCCAGCTCCCTGCTGAGCATTATAGAAGCCATGAGCAGACGGGCTGGCCCTGGAAGCAGAACTGGAGTTCTGGCAGGAGCCAGGCAGAGCTCTCCCTGCCTCTCTGCAGACCAAATGTCTCACAGACTGTGGAGGTGGCTCGGGGTGGAACCGACATGCCCGGGTCTGAGTCCAGATTCCTGAGAGAGAACCCGATGGGCCTGGCCTGGATCAGGCAGCTGTCCCTGGGCCAGTCAGCTGTGGCCGTGGGACAGGCAGGACAGGTGGCGTTCCTCAAGTGCGGGGGCTGCAGATGAGCTCTTGGTATCTGCCAGAGGGCTGCTTTTCTGTCCTCTGAAAGCAGTCTAAGTTGAAGAAAAGCGGCTTCTTTGGGGCCAGACACGGAGTCCCCCGCTGCTCAGGCTGAGTCTGGAGGCTGAGGGTGGGAGGTGAGGGTGCCTTCTCCACAGACACCCATGGGGAGAGGGCAGGACCCTGACTCATCCAGGAGCTAGGGGACCTGTGCCCCAGATGATACTGTGTCTCTAGGAATGCTTAGGTGAGTTGGGCTGCAGAGGGGCCATCCCTCCGCATCCAGAGAGGCAGGCCCTGGGGAGACAGTGGTGGTGGGGACAAGTGGGTGGCTGTGGAAGGCTCATCCGTAGAGGCAGGGAGCAGAGACAAGGTCTCCCTCAGCTTTGTGTCCCTGTGTTTAGTTCACAGTGATTATGATAATGATGATAACTTCTCTTTGTGGAACATTTATCAGGTGCCAGACACGTGCTAAGCACTCTGCATGCATGTTCTCATTTAATTGTCTCCCCAACTCTGAGGTGGATACTGTTATAATCCGTGTTTTTTAACAGAGGAGGAAGCTGAGTTGCAGAGAGGTGAGGCCGCTTTCCCAAGACCATACAGCTAGTCGAGAGGGAAGCAGAATGCAGGCCCCAGCACTCCACAGCCCCCCGGCAGGCACTCAGACCAGTTCAGAGAACCACATCTCCCCACTGGCCCCCGGTCCAGCATTAGCCCAGCAGCTGGGGCAGAGGCATGACCCCCCCAGTGCAGCAAGGTGGGCAGTGTTGGAAGTAACCTGAGTCAGAGTCCCCTGCACTTCATAACTTGTGACCTCAGGCCAGTCACTGCACTTCTGAGCCTCCATCCTTTCCTAGGAAAACGTGGCAAGTGTTCCCCAGGCCTGCAGGCTTGTGGGATTTGGGAGAGACCAAGGCCCCGCTGTATGCCCACCTCTACCCCAAACACCCCGGCACAGCTCAACCCCACCCCGTAGCCCTTCCGTCGCCACCAGTCCGTGTCCTCAGTGACTTACAGGAAGTGAAGAAACCCAGGACTTCTGACACTAGGTGGAAAACTTGGGCCTGGAGAGTCTGGCCTTTGTGAATCACGTAGGCCCTGCTGCTGAGGTTGTGTAAGAAGAGGTTTTGATGGTCACTAATTTCCTGTTCTAAGCTTCCTGTGGCGGAGCAGGAAAGAACGCTCCGTGGCCGTCAGACATCAGTGTGGTCTCTGTGCTTCCTCATTCCCAGAGAGAGGGTGTCCCAGCTGCTCCCTGAGACTTGCTGCTCTGGGCAGGGGTGCGGGGCTTGTGGTGGAGCCGGACAGTGGCCAGAGAGGACAGGCAGGGGCTGGGATGACCTGAGAGACACAGCCAGTTTCCCTTCCCACACACCTCAGGCCTGCCTTGGATAGGCACTCCCATCTGTGAGGGCTTGACCTCCTGGCGTCTGGATTTCTTCCTCATTTATTTACCAAGCACAGGTTTTTCCATTGTGCTTGGTGCTGGACATACAGCACTGGGTGAACAAGGCAGGCACGGTCCCTTCTCTTAGGAAACTTAGAGCCTAGTGGGAAAGCAGACACTCAGGCAGTTGCAGTAAAGTATAGTTGACCATGATGGGGAAATGGGTGCCAAGGAGACATGCAGCAGGGAGACTCAACCTAATATTGATGGGAAGGGAGCAGTCAGGGAGGGCTTTCTGGAGGAAGTAACCTTTGAGCTATGCCCTCTCAGTAGATATGTAAAACAGCCCACATTCTGGATTTGTCCGATTGTTTCCTTCTGGTGTCATTTAGCTTATTCCTCTATCGCTTGTATTTCCTATAAAGTGGAACTTAGGTCAGGAGGCTTGAGATTCAGGTTGAACATCCTGGCAACAGTACTTTCCAGAAGATTTTGTATATTTCGTATTGCATCAGCTCAGGGGCCACACGATGTCTGGTTCTCCCTCTCTTGGTGATGCTAGGTCACAACTTGGTTACAGTTGTGACCACCAGATCTCTCCACTGAAAAAGTACATTTTTCCCTTTGCTGGGAATGTAATTGCGGGGTGATAACCTTTCACATCGTGTGACTCTCCTGTTCCCCAATAGCCTTTCACCCAGAGCTTCGGTGTCCATCAAGGACCTTTCCAGAGTGGCTGTGCCATCTCGGCTTCCCACCGGCCGCGTATGAGTCCCTGGGGCCCCACATTTTTCCCAGCACGTACTTTTGTCAGTATTTTTATTTTAATTATTCTAACAGGTGCATGGTGATATCACCATGGCTTCAATTTGCCTTTCTCTAATGGCTGATGATGTCGAGCTTCTTTCCGTACCTATTTGCCATCCGTGTATCCTCTCTGACGAAGTGTCTGTTCACATATTTTGTCTGTTCACACATTTTGTCCGTCTTGTAATTGGATCGTTTGTTTGCTTGCTCTTGAGTTTTGAGAATTTTTCCCTAAATTCTGAATATAAATCCTTTCTCAGATACACAGCATGTGTTTCGAGGGCTGTCCCATGAAGAAAGTTTTAGTGTCATTTCTGGGGGAACATGACAAGGGACTATGTAAATCTCTGCGGAAAATCTGCTTCTTTTAAAAATTATTATTTTTTTTTAAATTGTGATAAAGTTTGCATAACAAATTTTACCATTTCGACCACTTGTCAGTGTACATTTCAGTGGTGATAAGCACATTCACACTGTTGAGCAACCATCCATCTCCAGAGCTTTGCTTCATTGTCCCAAACTGAAACTCCATACTCAGTAAACACTAACTCCCTATCCTCCTCCACCAGCCTCTGGTGACCACCGTTCTGCTTGATGCCTCCATGAACTGACGGCTCGAAGTACTTCATATGAATGGAATCATACAGTATTTGTGTTTTTGCAACTGGCTTATGTCACTCAGCATAATGTCCTCAAGG